TTTTATTATGTTGGGAGTTTCTAATTAAATATATTATCATAATCATTACAACTCCCACATTGGTGACTCACGACGATGGAGATGATGACAAAAAAAAAGGAGTTTTATTTTTCGAGGATTTGAGAAAAATTGATTTTGACGCAGCATCATAATCACTGGTCTTCAGTGACGACCTATAAGGTATGTCCAGTCCAATCCATCATAGTTAACGCACTTACTATCTGGATCAGACTTCCGAGGTTACTCATTTGGTATACCCAGACCTCAGTGTCTATTGCTGACAGTAAAAATAATTTGGAGCCTGAACTTTTCATTGGAATGCAATTCAACCTCTCTTTCTCTGTTAACTCAACAAATCATCTTATAATGCTACCTCCCATTATCGGTGACAACGACGAATCAAAACAAAATTTGACATAATTTATTGGATTCCACAATTCTGGACTCTTATGTCAAAGAAACCAATGATCCTGATTTGGATAAAGAGCCAACTTCTTTCTCTGATCGGAACTCATCAGATACGAATGCAACGCTTGCAGAAATGGAAACTGTACCCATAAATTATGCATTCTAAACATTAAGTTATTCTGATATAACTAATACCCATTAGATCGAGAATATTATGCAGAATATGGAGTTGATGGCAGGTCAAATCACCACATACGGTGGATCTGCTGACGAAACATGGAAATTTGTAATTGACCAGTATTACAACACTGGTCTGCTATAATCTGCTTTCCCACCACATTTTTATAACGTGTTTCCCTGTATTTTTTTTTAAACTGTGAGATCAACACTGGGCAGGGAGTGTGTGGCGATATCAAGCAGGCTGCTTTTTTGATTTGTAAAAAACAATGGGACATGTCATGTATATTTTTGATATCGAAATATTTTTATAGTTAATAAATTTATATTTTTTTTATTATGTTGGGAGTTTCTAATTAAATATATTATCATAATCATTACAACTCCCACACAGGAATTAGAATAAATAAGGGTGCATAACTCTTGATAAAAATAAATAGTTTTTCGAAATAAAAAGAGTTCTATGCATTATGTCGATTTTGAATTAAGCAAATTAAAATAAAGAAAATTGACACCAGTGTTAAAAAAAAAGTATTAGGGTTGGACAACCCTTGATAATAATAAATTGTATTTTAAAGCAAGATTTGAGCTTTTTCTTCAAGCTTAATGGCGCATTATAAAAAAAACGTCCGAAAATTAAAAAAAGTGTTTCGATTCTCCTAAGTAATAAGGCACAGCTCTTCTAAAGCACAAAAGTAGATAGTTGCCGATTCTCAGATATACTGATTACGCATATAAAATATTTGAGCACTGTGCTATCCAAATATCTCTTGGATATGCTCTTATTTGTTAACTTCCCGTAGGGCATGTTATAGTAATCGCAAAAAAATTAACTTTTTTGCATTTCTCGACGTTTCAAAGGTTTCTGAACATTTTGGCATACCTTACAATTAATGAATGTATATGTGTGTGTGTATGTGCGTGTGTGTATGTATGTTCGGATACAAATTTTCGTCGACGATTTCGGGAACACGGATCAACCGATTTTAATAATTCAAAAAACATTCGATTCGTATTGATAAGGAGACGTGCTGATTAGTTTTTGGCGAAGGCAGGTGTAGCCGTTCCGAAGATACGGGGCAAAAAGTGCCGAAAACGGTAACTTAGTTTTTAAGAGAACGGATCGTCCGATTTGAGTAATTCAAAAAACATTTTATTTGTATTAACTAAATAAAAAACTGTTATAATTTTTGGAAAGGCGGGTTCAACGACTTTGGAGATATGGAGAAGAAGTAAGAAAATGAACTATCCTTTAATGTTCCAAGGCTATCTTCGCGTTCACAATTATTTTTCAATTATCCTACCCCTAAATCTATTTCTCTCTTAAATTCGCCAATTTTACTTATGTCATCTAACTTTAACTTAATTAATAACGAAATAGACATTCACAACACTTCACCTAATCAAATAATCTCCATCTGCACAAGTTAATCTTTTTATTTTCTTTCAAATATCTCATTATTTTCTTATTCTGTTTATAAATATTATTGTTACATTCTGCATTATATGCAATTTTATCTTAGCATTTTATGTTACTAACTATATATTTTAATTGTTATTCATTATGTAAAATAATTGTATTTTTGAGTCCTCTTGGAGAAATCTGTGGGCTATATATTTAAATAAATAAATAAATAAATAAATAAAATGAGCCATTTGGCGGTAAAAATGAACATTAGACATATGCACATCAAATTACCAGATATTTTATAGAGATTTTAACAATAAGTATATTTTTTTTTAACATTTCTATGAGTTCCGTACCAATGCTTATGCGTTAGACGGCGGCGCGGCACTTGCGCGCTTTGACATTTCGTCTCTATGCAGTTCAAGCAGTACGATTGCTTTGAAAAAAAGTTCAGAATTTTCAAAATATGTCAAAATGAAGAAAACATTTTTCTTTTCAAAAAAATTTTGTTTTCAAAAAAAAATTTTTTTTAAAAAAAAAAGTAATTTTTTGTCAAATTTATAGTTTCTCAAAAATCTAATTTTTTCGAAGTAAAATTTTTTCAAAAATGTTAATTGTTCTTAAAAAAATAATAATTTTTGGTACGGGAAGTTCCAGCAATATGCCTTAAAGTACGATGCCCTAATTGCCTTAAGACAGAATTCAACTTACAGCTAGTTTAGTTTGTGTTGCCGATTCCCAGACCAAAATGGTTCCATATTCAATACCCTCTTTTATGATCTTCTAACTATCTAAGAAATACGATAAATATAAATAAATAATTTTATGCGGCGGTTTTAGTATGCATTTTAATAACTAGTGGGGCGCATGGCATCGTGCCTTAAGGCAAATTGCTGGTACTTCCCGCACCGTAACGAAATGTTCGAGGAATATTAAATGTTTTCAATAGATATTTATTTAAAATATATAAATTTACAAAAAAAGAGATTTTTTCCCCAGAAGCAATTGTTTTGTCAACACAAGCAGAAAGTTTTTTAAATCATTCAATTCGGATGCTTATTTCTCTCAAAAACTGCCATTTTTTGTATATAGCTCTGTATCTTCGAAATGGCTGGGCCTGCCTTTGCCAAAAACTAGTAACCATTTCTCCCAATTATTGCTAATTGAATGTTTCAAATCGGATGCTCCGTTCTCTCAAAAATTCGATTTTTATTTCTGCACTCTTTGCTCTTTATCTCCGTAACGGCTGGACCTGCCTTTGCTAAAAACTAATCAGCACATTTCCCTATCAATAAAAATCGAATAATTTTTGAACCATTCAAATCGGTTGATCTATGCGCATGAAAACGGGAACGAAAAAATGCGGACACACAAAACACACACACATCCATTTTTTCTGAGGTATGCCAAAATATTCAGAAAGCTTCAAAACGTCGAGAAATATAAGAATTTTCACTTTCGATTTTTGGACGATTACAATAACTTACCCTATGGGAAGTTAATAAGTTTCTTTAGAATTTTTGATTCAGCCAGTAAGCTATGTTTCAAAGTCTGGAAAAAGATAACCTCGAATTTTAGTATGATAATAAGCCAATGCTTTATTTAATGATTTCATCAGCATGATGACAGTAAATGAAGAAATTCAACAAAAACAAACAACTACAAAAGAAGAATTGACGAACACCCAAATTGCTTGGCACAAAAAGTATTCTCAGAAGCGCGCCCTACAAGGCTAAAACGAAAAATTCCCAATGATCTCATAAATTTGTAAACGCAAACATTATTATTATTATTATTATTATTATTATTATTATTATTATTATTATTATTATTATTATTATTATTATTATTATTATTATTATTATTATTATTATTATTATTATTGTTATTATTATTATTATAATTATTATTATTTTTATTATTATTATTTTATTATTATTATTATTATTATTATTATTATTATTATTATTATTATTATTCTTATTATTATTATCTTACTATTTCTATTATTGCTATTTTGTTTTATCTTATTATTTTTCTAGTATTATTTTATTATTCAGAAATTTTATCTATATTATTTATTAATTTTATTTTTATTCCCAGACAGCACAAGACATGCCAGGGAATGTCCCACTTGTCCTCACAATCTCCTAATATCGCGACATCCTATGAATATCCTATGAATATGCAACGGGACGTCTCAAAACCAAAGGACTCGAGCAGGTATAACGCACGGGTTCACGAACATGTCGCTCTCGTACGCGCACGGCTTGAGACCTCTAAACGTATATGTTTGTCCCTTTCTCTTTTGTCGCGTCGGCTGTAGGAATGGGGCGTCCTTTAAGGTTTAAGCGTTATCAATAGACGCTATATGTGGAATTATCATAGTTTTTGAGTAATTGAGTAATAATAGTGAAAATTTTATTTGTTTTATATAATTATATGAGCGTGTGTTATAAATAATTAATATTATTTATCAAAATACTCTAAAATTGAGTAATAATAGTGGAAATTTTATGTGTTCTATATAATTATATGTGCGTGTGTGTTATAAATATTGCAGCAACATATTGAAAGGGGGGCAGATATAAACGATGGTAATTAAAGCTTTCTGTGTACTGTTATTTGAAATACTATGTTACTAGTATAAATAGAATTTTTAATTTAATGCTGACATTTCTACCCTGCCAGCTTATCCAGCAGCCATGCCTAATTTTGTATCAAATGCTGTGTTTGAAAGAGGATTGACAAAGAAGAAATGCTCTCCACTATGTTTGTTGGAGGAGCTTCAACTTGTGGAGGCTATATTTCTGAGCAAAGATATCAAAATACAATTGGTAATCAAAAGTTTATATAGATTTATTTTTATTTGTTAACTTTATCATATACTAAACAAACTTTCTCTTTATATTCTGTATTTAGCCATCAGAGTCCAGCTATGAAAATCAATTTTTGATGTTGGTTTGGACAAAGAATTTTGCTAGGGACGAGGAAAGGGCAAAAAAAAATTTTGTGATCTAGTGCCTTGCGATGTCATCACAGGTAATTTATATATCTTATACTTATGATGTGTTGTAAATTATGAATTAAACTAATATATAATTAATTCCAGGAATTGCTTTGAAAAATTTGCCGCATGAGACATAGTTTACTGTTTCAGAGGCTGCAAAAAGCTGGCTGCGACGTGCCAATAAATATTATACAAGGTATTTTTGTGAGATGTGTACTATATGTTTTTCCTATTTACAAAAAATCATGATTATTGACTGGTTAGTTGTATCAATGTTAGTGCAAAATTTGTGCTGTGTACACATTTTTAGATGTAAAAAACCAAGTTTAATATTCACTCGTAATGACATCAAATTGTGTCGATATATTTGGAATTAGAGATTATTTTATAAATCTCTGTCTATTTTGATTGATGTATCGCTCTTAAAGAACTTACTCATATATATATACATATATATGCATTTATTCATTTGTTTTCTATTTCAGGAGAGAAAATCAACCATGAACTAGGATTGAATGCCGAATTAATTATATTTTTAATATTGTAAAATAAGTTATTTTGAATTAAAGTTGTATATATTAAATTTTGTTATAAAATTATCTCAGGATTTTGTTATTTTGTAATAAAAGTTTACTTTGTGAAATTGTGTTCTTTTATTTTATTTTTAATCCAAATTTATTTTTCATCTAAAAAGTAAAAAAACAATTCCATAATTATATCCTATTCATGTCCGGTTTATGTCCGGAATATCCCGCGCGGGATATCCTACAGAACGTCCCATAGGTGCGACATATTAACATGTTTCGGATAAGATCAGGATAAGCGGGATATCCGTAAGGCTATCGCAGGGACAATGAATGTCCGCGCGTGGATATCCTGTGGACGTTTTCCAGGATGTCTTGTGTTGTCTGGGTTATTATTTGCTTCTATTTTATATTAAATCACCATATTACGGATATTATTTTCATGTAAATTCTATCCTCTGCACTTTTATTCATTTAAATTTATGTTATTATTTACCAATATTACTAGATGTTGACTATTTAACAGTTGTAATAATTATTGAAATTAAAAAAAAAATGATTTCATATCATTCATTTTATACAACTTTAATTTATCTTTTCCTTCTACAAAAAAAAATCCAGGTTCCAAAGAGAAATTTACGCTGGCTTACTGAGGGCTTATGTATATCATTTGATAGATTAAAGTTTCTAGAATCTAGAGCGTCTATCCAAACACAATTCTACTGTATCATTTCAAACATAATGATACTTTATCATTATTTTTTTAAATATAGGCAAACATTTAATAATTAATTGATTTAGCTAAAATTAAATTCAATAAACACTCGTCTTGCAAGAAAAAAACTATATGGTCTTTCGTTATTTCTGAACTCATTCTTGAACAAACCATTAATAATGTAACTAGTGGTGGTGCATTAATAATGTAACTAGTGGTGGTGGATCGTGCCTTAAGGCAAATTGCTGGAACGTACCAGAGTTTAATATTTGACCAAAAAAATTAATAATCAATAAATATTGATCAATGATTATTAACAATTGTTTTAAATGTTTTAAAAGAAATAATTATGATCGCTATATAAATATTTATCCCTTCATATGATATACAGTGGCGATCTTATCGCTCAATACACTCGAAAACCTTTACATTAATGTGGAGAAGATGAATGAATCCATCTGAAGATATATTTCTTACGATCACAATAACGCTTATAAAATATATACATTTTTAAACTGAATTGTAAATTTAAAATTAATATTAAACTTTATTTAGCATATTATTGAAAATTTTGAAAAAAAAATTCTACTTCTAAAAATTTTGAAATTTGTTTGAACCGTATAAGTGAATTTTAAACAAAAATATGTGAATTTTAGTGGCCAGTAACTTGAAAAGTATTAGTTTTTTTGAAAAACTATAAATGATATTTTTTTCTTATAATTAGTTCTTCTATCGATTTCCGATGTTATTTTGAAAAAATGTAATCACACAATTGAGAAGGGTTGTCATCCCCCCGGGAGGTGATGGCGTAACCCGAATTGTTTTCACTTTTCAACTTGAGGGTAAGATGAACCTAATTCCAAAATTTCATTCAATTCGGACACAATTAAAAAAATTCAGACCTAAAACGCTCCGCACTACATTATTATATTTCCAAATTTTCGAAGCGGCAGTCGTCGTAAAATGGTTTCGAAATTACCGAAAAAAAGGTACCTTTATTAGCTGTGTCCGCCACTTTGGGCTCAGTCAGTCCCGATCTCATGTAAGATAGGTATAGAGGAATCGATGCACAAAATCTCAGGTGTCGTAAAATACATACTGTCATCCGCCCACGGACTCTTTGTCTATATGCATACGAGTATGTATGTATGTGTATATGCATGTATGTGTATGTATGTGTGTATATACATCATGTGTACATAATAATATTTCTCAGCATTTGCTAAGGCAATACATTCCCTTTTTTCGAAAATTATCAATACAAGAGCCATAAAAAATTATTTCCGTATATATTGCCCACATCTGGCCGACAGAACTTCATTACAGTGTGTTGAAAAGTCTTGTGAAGTCAAAAACATTTATAAATATTCCCGAAAAAACGAGTGTTTTTAACAAAAAATATTAGTGATATGGATATATAAATTATTACAGGTAAATAATTTTTGCTTCGTTTGCTTCGTTACTTTTCTTTACTCTTTACACTGGTGCATAATCCATTCCTTTATAATTTTTCTAAATAATCTGTAATAACCATCACTAATTAATTTTAGTCAATAGTTTTAAAAAAACATTGTCTTTGACAGAATAAACCTGATGATGAAACGTATCTAGATCCGAAACGTCGTTATTAAACATCTTCAAAAAAACAAATTGTTTTTTATTGGATTTACTGTTCGGAAAAGAAGCAATCAATATATTGAAAAAATCCAGGACTTATCTATTGAATTTATCTTATATATAAAAATGGATCGCAAAATGTGTTGGTAAGCGCATAACTCAACAACACATGAAACAATTTCGACAATTCTTTCTTTAAAATGTTCGTTCAAGTCCAAGGATGGTTCTTACGGCGAGAAAAAATCGAATATTCGTCGGGAAAACACTAAAAACAACCCTTTTCTTTTCTACATGCAAACGTTTTCTAACTAAAACGTACAATCAATTTGGGCTTCATTGCTATTATACAAAGTTCATATTAAATTACAAGCACTCACTGTAAACTCCTCCTAAACGATTATTCGGATTTTGATAAATTTTTCTGAAGTTTGTTAAGTAAATTTTCTAGGATGTATGTGATTATAAAGTACTGGAATTTATGTGCAATATTGTAGACATAAATGAAAAAAATTGCTAAAAGCGACATGTTATTGTTTGCATTGAAAGAAATGAAAACTATCATTTGCAAAAAATTCAAATTTACTTATGAACCTAGACGATATTAGAATATGTATAATAAATTTATGGTTATGAATAAGAAAATTGAAATGTGTGCATTATTATTGCCAAAAAGTAGCTGAGATAAACAAAAATTAAAATGATATAAGATACAATATATGTATGCAGATTGAATGATACACATATGAACAAATTAATTTGCTTAATATATGAAATACTACCTTTAATGCGAGGCATGCGAAAAATGCGAGCGCACGCCTTAGGGGGCGCCAATACAAGATTTTTTTCAATATATAATTTTTTTGCATCTATTACTAATCTTTCCGCAATATTTTTAAAATTCGGAAAAATTTCACTTTATAACAACAAATGGGAAAGTAAAGATGAATACATACAATTCGGCCCTTACGATAACAATTAGGAGAAGTTTAAGATGCAATTTTGGATATCTTAAATAATATCAAATTAAATTAATTTAATCCAACATGAAGTACCAGTGTTATGTAATGGTTATGGTTATGTTATACCGTTAAAGAGACTTCAATTTCCAATATAGTGTGAGAATTGACTCATCATTTTAATTAAAAATGTATATGCATTTTGGCGTGAAGAATAATTTAAAAAACAATAATTATTATTTTTGGGTAAATGGTAAATATTAGCATATTATATTAAAAAATTGTAGACAGAATAGGTACAGAACAACGTCTGTCGGGTCATCTAGTATATAGTATATATATATATATATATATATATATATATATATATATATATTAGGGTGGTCCTACAAAATGGGAAAGTAAAGATGAATACATACAATTCGGCCCTTACGATAACAATTAGGAGAAGTTTAAGATGCAATTTTGGATATCTTAAATAATATCAAATTAAATTAATTTAATCCAACATGACCAAGTACCAGTGTTATGTAATGTTATGGTTATGTTATACCGTTAAAGAGACTTCAATTTCCAATATAGTGTGAGAATTGACTCATCATTTTAATTAAAGCAGTTCTACATTTAACATCACTCAAATTATAAATGTATATGCATTTTGGCGTGAAGAATAATTTAAAAAACAATAATTATTATTTTTGGGTAAATGGTAAATATTAGCATATTATATTAAAAAATTGTAGACAGAATAGGTACAGAACAACGTCTGTCGGGTCATCTAGTATATAGTATATATATATATATATATATATATATATATATATATTAGGGTGGTCCTTAAAATGGTCATTTTCGAATTTCCTTGCTCCCAGGGGCTCAAATGGTTCCAAATAGATAAAAAACAATTCTCTGAAAGTTTTAGCTCTTAATATTAACTTTTAGATAGAGCGCAATTCAATCAAAGTTTGTATGGAAAGAGCATCAAAAAAATTTTGAAAATTAAAAAAAAATGTTTTAGGTATAACTTAGCGACAAATAAATGAGCTTTATTCATTCATTTGTTTGCTAAATTTCATCTAAAAAACATTTTTGAAATTTTTGAAAATTTTTTCATGCTATTTCCATACAAAACTTTGATTGAATTGCGCTCTATCTAAACGTTAATATTAAGAGCTAAAACTTTCAGAGAATTGTTTTTTATCAATTTGGAACCATTTGAGCCCCTGGGAGCAAGGAAATTCGAAAATGACCATTTTAAGGACCACCCTAATATATATATATATATATAATATATATATATATATATATATATGATAAAGTTTTTCAGCCACAAGTCGAAAAAATAAAACCAGAACGTAAATATAATCTTTTTTTCGACTTGTGGTTGAAAAACTTTATCATATAATGTTTCAAAGTCGAAATAAACAATATCAAGATATATATATAATATATATATATATATATATATATATATATATCTTATATATAAAATTCTTCTGTAACTATGTATGAATGGTTAATCCACCTAAACTATAATTCGGATTTTCATGAATCTTCCTGAAGTTTGTTCGGGAAATTTTCTAGAATTTTTATATTCATAGAAATATAGTTAAATTGTAGAAATAAATAGAAAAAATTACAAAAAAACGCTTATCATCGATTGACCTTGAAAATATTTTGGGCATTGCAACTGTCATCTGTCCAAAATTTCCCTTTACTCA